ATAACAAGTGTAATATCCACTAAAGCAAAGCTTAAGTATATAACACCAACATGACCCTATATAAAAACAACCGACAGAGGTTCTCTTCCGGTCGTCAAGATTTCCAGCCCAGTCAGCGTCGCAATAACCTGCAAGATTCAAGTTCGTATCAGCAGAGTAGAATAATTCGTACTCCGATGTACCTCCAATGTGTTTAATTATATCCTTGACTACCTTCATATGTGATTCCTTGGGGGCAGCCTGATACCTGGCACATAATCCAACACTTAAGAAAATGTTAGGTCTACTAGCAGTAAGATATAGAAGACTCCCAATCATACTTTTGTAAAGAGTTTGATCAACAAATGTACCTTCATCATCTTTAGACATTTTTATATGTGTGCCCATGGGAGTTTGAGGACTTTTAGCATTTTGAAGACCAAACTTTTTAACAAGGTTTTTTGCATATTTACTTTGATGCAAGAAAATTCCATCTTTACCTTGTTTTACCTGAAGTCCAAGGAAGTATGAAAGCTCACCTACGAGACTCATCTAGAATTCAGACGACATAAGTTTGACAAAGTGATTGACCAGCTTCTTGGACGTTGATCCAAAGATGATGTCATCCACATAGATTTGAACGGCCAATAGGTCCTCATTCGTTCGGAGAGCAAAGAATGTCTGATCTACTCCCCCTCTCTTGAATCTCTTTTCCAGAAGGTACATGGTTAGGCGTTCATACCAAGCGCGTGGTGCTTGCTTCAGTCTGTACAACACTTTCTTAAGTCTTTAGACATGATTTGGATTCTTGGGACCAGTGAATCCTTCAGGCTGCTTAACGTACGCCTCTTCATGCAATATCCCGTTCAGAAAGGCAGACTTCACGTCTATATGATAAATAATGAACTTCATTAGACATGCAATGGACAAAAATATATATAACGATTCAAGTCTAGCAATAGGGGCAAAGGTTTCATCGAAATCAATCCCTTGAGTCTGAGTATAGCCTTGAGCAACTAGTCTCGCCTTGTTGCGTGTCACCTTCCCAAACTCATCAGTTTTATTTTTGAAGATCCACTTGGTTCCGATAACATTTCCTGATAATGGTTTAGGTACTAGCTCTCAGACATCGTTTCTAGTGAATTGCTTCAGTTCCTCCTGCATTGCTAAGACCCAACACTATCTTTCAAGGCTTCTTTAGCATTCTTGGGTTCAATCAATGAGGTGTAGCAAGCATAGTGAGAAACACCCATAAGTTCTTTGACGGAAGTCTTCGAGTTTCTGGTTACTCTCTCATTGATATCACCAATGACTTGTTCAGATGGATGATCTTTCTGAACCCTCAAGGGAGGATCACGCTTCAGTTGAGCTGGACTTCCAGGTGCTGTCAGTATGATATATTCAGTCTGAAGTTCTTCATAGTCCTCAGATCCAACTGTACGTTCATGAGTTCCACTATCTTCAGGACGAACAATATCGTGAGCATTCTGTACATTCTCAACATTTTCACACAGATTAAATGACACAGATGAACCAACATGAGAGATTTTCTCATCAAAGATCACATTCATGGACTCTACCACAGTGGAGGAACTTGTGTTGTAAACACGATAAGCTCGACTGTTGTTAGAGTAACCAAGAAAGAACCTGTAACGCCCCGTTTTATTTTAAAGAACTACCGAATAAATTTATAAAAATCAGAGTTAATTTTTCGCAAAAACTCAAATTTAATTTTAAAACTCAACGGGTGCTACTTAACTACTAAGAATAAATTAAACAAAAATACAAACATGTAACCCAAGCATTTAAACAATAAGGAAGTATCTATATACGCATAACTAACAGTTTTAAACAATAAATCCATGCGTTTATTAAGTTCTCAAAATAATCATAAGTAAGCATAATACCAGAAGGTTTCAGTCCGACGTACCTTGATTATCCAAATCAAAATAGGAAAATAAAACCAAGTCATTTAACAGCAATTCAACAAGGTCATAAATAAGCGGAAACATATATCATAGTAACATAATCGACCCATTGACCACATCCCGCTCGTCTTTACGCCACCGCCTCCAACTCATCTCAACCTAAAGAAGGAAGAGAAAACAGCCACAGAGAACAAACAAAGGGGGTGAGCATAACCAACAAGCTCACCAATATCGCACAATTATCCAGTATAAAGCATTTTAAAACATTTTCCCAGTATGCATAGAATCCAAGGTCTAAACTCCCTACTCAGCCCTATCCCAAATCTCCTATGTACATACAACAACCTTCTGGATACAACGACATGGAATTAACTGGAAACCTTCCCACCCCTGGGTACAACGGTTCGTAGGATCCATTCCAGGAGACAGTGGAGATGTTTTTCCCCTTCTGGGTACAACGGCTTGGGGCGTCTCCTCCCAGATACAACGGGCAGGTGACCTCCCACTGTTTTCGCATTCATCAAAGGCACTATTGTCCGGGACACCTAGACTAGGGTTCTCACACATACAACAATTTTCAAACGAAGCATTATACGAATAAAGAGTGCAATAATTATGATATACATCACAAATGTACCCATTTGTTCGCAGCGACAGTTCACAATCACGAATCTCGAAAGCAGGGCGAGGTCAACACCTCTAGACACCTACATTAAGTCCAGATACTAAAGTCAACGCTTTATCTAGACCTAAGTAAAAAAATCAGAATTTGACTTAGTCGAACTTGATTCAACTAAGTGGTTCGTGAAGTCTTGTGGATGTTGGAACTCTAGGACTTAGACTCGGACAACCGAACATGGAAGTTCACGTAAATATCACATAATTAGGTTGATCAAGATAGTGAATGAGCTAAGTTCTGAAACTTTAACATAACATTGTCCTTTTTGAATTGAGTAAAATCACCAAGTTTCAGCCGCAAACTCGTTATACACAATTTTATAAAATTCAAATACGACATCAGCAAGAACGGGAATAAAATTTAAAGCCTGACCTAACGAATGAATTAATACATGAGATTTTTACTGGAGTAAGTTAAGCAGTTAAGGACCAACATATAAAAATTCCAGCAATTAAAATCAAATACACAAATTATGAAAATTCATACAAAATTCAGCAGTTTATCGAATTTTAATTAAAACTGAACCAATCTCACCTCCAAAAATTCCTATCTTTTTACAGTATGCAAGTACAAATAAAATAAGTATCTCAGCCAAAAATCAAAATTTTCCACCAATTAACCAATTTATCATAATAAAACATATATCAGCAGAAAACATAAACAAATTATTTACCCTATCAATATCAGTCTAAAAATTCTAAACAATTTAAACAAGGCAGAAATCAGACAAAGAGACAACATACTAAATTTCATAAATTTTGGAGCACGGACCGATTTATTATGAATTAAATACGTTTCTGCCCAGGAATCATTTTAATTTTTAAAAATAGCTACAGGCCTTGAAACAATATGAAATTTTTACACAATCTATAAAATCAATAGAGGCACTTACAATTACAATTTCATAGCAATCCGATCAGTATGCAATTTTTAAAAATTCAAACACCAAAACAACGAGCATACGAGTACGGTAAATTCAAATTTGACTCGAAACATATATTTCTAGTCCGAGGCCTTCTCTTAAGCCCCAAGACTCGACCTGAACATCTTTGCTGAGTTGGGCAGAAATTAATTGAAGACAAAAAGTTTACCAGTGTAATTCCAGATATTCCTTCCCAGAATGGTACATAATTTGATTGAAGCCTATATGCTATCAGTTCGTATCATTTAACAATTCAGTTTCCATTTACTCGTGAACTTCATGCTAACTAGGGGTGAGCTTCGGTGCGGTTCAGTCAAAAACCGCACCGCACCGAAAAAAACCGAAAACTGAATTTTTGAAAAATTTTCACCGAACCGCACCGCAATAGAAGAAAAAACCGAACCGCACCGAACCGAAATTTCGGTTAACCGAAATTAAAAAAGATAACCACCAATTAATGTTATATAAGTAAAATTGTAAAAATCAAGGTGATATTTTTTAAAAAAATTAAAAAAAAGTGACATTTATGACATTCGGTGCGGTTCGGTTAAAACCGCACCCTTCGGACAGAAAACCGCACCGCACCGAAATACTTGCGGTTTTTCAAAACCCAAACCGCACCGAAAACCGAACTTACCAAAAACCGCACCGAACCGCACCGAATAGATCGGTTCGGTGCAGTTTTTCGGTTTCGGCTCGGTTTTACAAGACAACCGAGAAACTTACAAAACAGCCAATCCAGAAATGCTCTCTTGATAGTAAATTCCTTTCACAACAGAATTTATACGTCATCAACTCTCATTATAAGTATACTCCAATTTACTAGTCAAATATTTAATTGAGAAATTTTGTAATTAAAACGTTAACCTGATCTTTCTGCATTCACTCTTGTGCAAATGAGATACATATTTCCTTAACATAAAAACTATTCGAAACTAGCGAATGCAAATTCAACCAGGTAACATTTTATTGCAAGATATATTCAACACTGTAGGTTGTTTCTTCTCAATCTCCCAATTTACAAATCAGAACGACACAAGGTCAAAATCATGGTGTCCATGACGATCCTAAGTTCCTAAATCCATAGCAATTCAACATTTTTAATGAGTTCTCGTTAGATTCGCACGAACTGACGAGGTCGATACATAATTAAATTCACACAATTCGAATTTAACTCATAAAAGTGCTGATATATATTCACCAAAATCGAAACAGATTCACAGTTCGGGTACCGTTCTCGGGACGGGGACACGAGAAAGGGTCGATCTGAGGTTGAAACGGACCTCACGAGGGGGCTCGACGACTTCGTTCGGCTCGCCGATGGAACACGAAGAGCGAGACAGCAACTAGGGCGAACTTGATGGCCTGCAACAATGGTGGATGGCCGACAGGGCCCGAACTTCTCATGATAACGATGCTGAGGGTTCACGGGAAGACGCTGCAGCTCACGAGCGTAGACGGGACTTCGCCGGACTGGTTCGCAATGGAGCAGAGGCGTCGTACGGTGGCGCCGAGCGGAGGAGCAGCGTTTGCTGCTCGCGGGATGATGTTGGTGACGTGCAGCGGTGGTTGAAGCTTGTTGTTTCACGCCGGTAGGTTTGCTCACGGGAATCTTGTAACGCCCCGTTTGTTTATGAATAATTGAGATTATTTCTTTTGCATAATAATAATAATAATAATAATTATTATTATTATTATTATTATTATTATTATTATTATTATTATTATTA